GTTTCGAGAGCCTCGAAACGAATGATTTTCGAGAAATCTTTTCCGGAGATTTTCATCGACATCGTCCAGACGAGAAAACGACCCTCGATTCTAGGAACAAGCGACTTTGAAATCTCACGGAAAAGTAACCTCAAAAAAGATAAAAGTTTTCCCTCTATCGTTACAATCGCCGAGACGTAACTTCGTTCTTAAAAATCGTCCGCTGGAGAGACTCGACGATTACGCGAAAGCGAAAATGACCCAAGGCTCTGCTAAATTTTGTGCGCACCGTTCGCAGTTACGCGGAACTTTCGACTGACAAGTTTCAATATGTTCTTCGTGTTTCTTCGTAACGAGTTTTGATGAATCGCGTAACTTCCGTGGGCGGAGCATTGATTAATTAATTCGCGGCGAAAGGAATTGCTGTACCGTGGATGATTAATGTTTCGTACGTTTAAAAATCTTATGAAGACGAGACAATCGTACGTGGACCGCGGGGGTCTCCGCGCGTTCATATCGCATGAGAATTCTTAAGAAGTTGCAAGACGTACGTACAGTCCATCGGAGTACACATTCTATTCGATGATTTTCTATTTTCTATTTATTTTATTATTATTTTCTCTATATATTCTATTTCTATATTTTTCGTATATACTATTTTTATATTTCTTATATATCCTATTTCTATATATTCTATTTTTATATTTCCTATATATCCTATTTCTATATATTCTATTTTTATATTTCCAATATATCCTATTTCTATATTTTCTATATATTCTATTTTTATATTTTCTATATTTTCTATATATTCCATTTCTATATTTTCTATATTTTCTATATATTCTATTTCTATATTTTCTATATTTTCTATATTTTCTATATATTCTATTTCTATATTTTCTGTAATTTCTATATTTCCTATATATTCTATTTCTATATTTTCTATATATTCTATTTCTACATTTTCTATATAGATATTCCATTTCTATATTTTCTATATACATATTCTATTTCTATATTTTCTATATACATATCCTATTTCTATATTTTCTACATATTCTATCTCTACATTTCTCATATATTCTTTTTTCTTATTTTCTGCACATTTTATTCCTATATTTCCCACATATTCTACTTCTATATTCTCCAAATACATATCCTATTTCCATATTTTCCACATATTCCATTTCCGCGTCGCAGGTACAGCTTCCATTTTGTTTAGAAACATCTCGGATTCTCGCGTGTAAAGATTTTAATTATATAAAGTTCCACGGTGCGCCGCCCCAAGAAGGTTCCTCTTTTCGCAACGATGTTGAAATATCTCGGGGAAATCTCGAACTTACGAAATTTCGGTTGGACCGTTTAACTCGGGGCACATCTTACGACGAAACGTGCGCAGTAAGAGAAAACGGAAAACTGTGTGGGTCAAGGTAATACTTTCCCGGCGGGATAAAGTCCGTGGAAATAGGGTGGACGAAGGGCGAGGGTGGAGAGGAAGGTAATGCAAAGAAAAGGCGGAACCTTGGTAACAGTAAACTCTCGTGACGCAACAGCGGAATCTAATTTCAGTATACTAAGTGGTATTTGCTAGGTTCTATTCTAACGTTCGGAAGACTTAAAAGATCTGCCGAGGGTTGCCGGAGACCTGTGCGAGATCATTATCGGTGCGAAGCGCGCCGGGGAAGTTGAAAAGGAACGAAATATACGCTATGAAGTGGGGAAAAGCTTTGGAAATACTGGATTTCGAAGTTCGCGCGGCCTCTGGACCGTATGCTAATTCGCAGAAAGGGCTCATCGCTTTTCCAGCAGTTTCGCCAATTATTTTCCAACCCCCCGCCCCCGCGCCAGTATTTCAAGAGCTATCGTTTTTCGATGCGTCAGACTCGCTCCCCGGATAAACAAATGATCTGTAGTCTCGAAATATCGCACAAACACGTTTAATCGCGTTTAAAAATAAATTCGTAAGGAAATTATCGAAATTATCGAAAAAGATTCGTAAGGAAATTATCTGCTAATTTTATATGATTTAATTTAACAGTTTTAATTAGAGGTGTAACACATTGATTAGAGACTCGACGATCGATCGTTCCCCGGATAAACAAATGATCTGTAGTCTCGAAATATCGCAAACACATTCAATCGCGTTTAAAAATAAATGCGGAACAAGAATTGAAATTTTTCGGTACACGAAGAAAGTGTTTTTTTCATAAACTCCTATTGTTTTGGAAATGCTTTTTGCTGCGATCTCATCGATTAGATTCGTAAGAGAATTATCTGCTAATTTTATATGGTTTAATTTAACAATTTTAATTGAGTGTAACGCATTGATTAGAGATTCGACGATGGCTGAGATCAGATAACAGCAAAGCGACAACAAGTGTGAAGCTTTTTCGTTCTTGTATAAATTATCTACTTCAATTTCTTTGAGAATTCATTTTCAAGAGTCGATGATTTCACTGATCGTTAACTATTTATTGTTATAAATCGGTGACAATTTTCCTTAAAAATTACTACGCTAATAATTCCACCAAAAAAGAACATCGTTGCTCTATTTTTCACAAAAAGGGCGAGAGACACTCCGCCCAAATTCCCGCAGAATTAAGCAAATTTTCTATATTTTTTTTAGAATTAAACAACATTCTCGGAAACATTGAATTACCGGAGACGCTTCGTCGAATCAGAAAGTCGCGGTCCGCGTTCGATTATACCGTGCGCCGAGAATGATTTCGCCGGCGGAAACGAGCAGTTTCGCCTCGAAAGGCCAGAAACGTTTCTTAACTTCCGCGGGGTTCGGTGCTTCATTACCGGTCCGAGTGTTATTATTGAGCCTCGCGAACACTGGCCGTGACATGCAAAACCATCGAACGAAATCCCCTCGGCGAGGGCTGCGAATCCGGAAACAAAAAGCTCGCCGGCCGACCCCTTTGCTTCCTGTCACGGAAGACACCGAGTAATAGCTACTGTTGATCGTTTCCGATTTACTTAAAATCTTCTCTTTTTTTTTTTAGCGTCACAGACTCTCGGCGTTGTAGGGTAAGGTTAGGGTCAGACCACCGTAGCGCAGGTATTACTGCGGATTCTCAATGAAGGCGAACTTTCACGGAGAAAATAAGACCTTTTGCTAAAGGTAATAATGAATAATAAATTATTAATAAATATACAATAAGAACAAACCCTAATAAATTGACAACTTGAGAACTTTCACAGAGAAAATAAGACCTTTTACTAAAGGTAATAATGAATAATAAATTATTAATAAATATACAATAAGAACAAACCCTAATAAATTGACAACTTGAGAACTTTCACAGAGAAAATAAGACCTTTTACTAAAGGTAATAATGAATAATAAATTATTAATAAATATACAATAAGAACAAACCCTAATAAATTGACAACTCGAGAGCTATACCTATATATTATTCCTTTAACTTGAATATTTATTTTTCTCAAAAT